AGACAGCATTATGGCATCTGAGGATAAGCAAGCACTGCATAAACCTACTTGCTGCTTTAAGTGTATAGTCGGATATCTTATGCCATTCAAATATAAATGCTTTTATAGCAAGCGGAACCCATTTACTGCCTAGATGGTCTCTAGCAATCTGTGTTAAATGCACGCCTCCAGCTGATGGATGATAACCTCCTGGGTTCAGTTGAGAAGGAAATCTTTCATGAATAGGGCCACCGTCTGGGGAGAAATCAGTACATTGCATCTTGCAAAAGAACATCTGCAGGATTTGTAAGTCTTAATCTCAAGCAGCACCACTGCCTTGGGAAGTTGTTACTAGTCCTGTTTTCAGACAGAACTCCTGCCTTTTTCAACCTGAAAGAACCTGGTGCATCTGCCTGGTCTAGTGCCAAGATAAGCCCATAGGCTATGTACCTCTGGTGTCTGTAATGGTGCTTGGCTCTGGTCCCAGACATCTATTTCCAAATATTTTCCCCCAAGGTGCCGTTGTGATGTGCTGTTGATAACTTTACCCATGCGCTTATCTGAGATCCTTTGGGCAGAGAGCCTTGTCCCAGTGCCAAAAGAGTGGGGAAGAAAGCCTTGCTTCTAGCCAGGGAGTTGTTAGGTGGAGATATGGGAAGTTGGGAAGAGACATGGGAGACCTATCGCAATGGTGGTTGTGAAGACGTCGGAAGGACTTCTCACCTGGTGTATGAAACTCCCTGACTGTCTATGCAGGGCAGTCAGGTATGGATCCTTGCTGATGCTGGGCTCCATTTGAACCAAGCTTAGACTATTCTAACCCGAACCTTGTTTAGGCAAGACTTGCTTACTGACTTTTTGGCCTGGTTCTCCATCATGCTAAGGCCCCTTTTGCATAGCTCTGGCAACACACCAGAAGCTTTAATACGGGCAAAAGTTTTAGGATAGTGTCACGGACATAACTTTGGATATAAATGTAAACCAGAATAGCTAAGCGGGTACCAGCTCTTGTATACACTCTCATGCACTTAAGTTGTATTACAGTCTCCTAATAAATTCTTGGTGACCTTCATGCTTATCCTATGTGGAGATCAGGGAAGCAATACTCATCACCTTACCCCACTGTGCCCTTTTGTGTCTGTGATGCATTTGTGTTTCCTGTCCTGCATTTCACAGGAATTGAAAAACAAAATTAGCTTTCTTTTTATCACTGTCAGATCATCTTTCTAGTCATGCTGAGGCTAACAACCATATTTTGTCACAGATTACACACCCCAGGTTATAATATGCACCTTGTTTTTGAAGGGCAGAAAGAAGAAAATAAGACCTTTTCTTGTAGCAAGTAACTGAGTAGCAGCAGCCAGGGAGCGCATTGCTGCAGATTTTACTTTTGCGTAGAAGCGGCTCGTTCTGTGTTGGAGGCATACATTAGACTTTAAGCTTTAGGACTATGACTGATGCAAGTTGAATACCTGTGTAATTAAAGGTATGAACGGCTTTTTCTCCTGATTCATTTAAACCAATACCAGAGGCTCCCCAGTGACTGTAACTGGATGCAAATCAGGTCCACGCTGTTTGATCTCACTGTGATAACAATCCAAGTGCAAGCTAACCAGTTTTAAACTATTTGTGTTCACATCTGTGTTCGCAGCAGCTTTCACTCAGAAGGTTGGTCTGATTTTTGTTAAACCAATACAATTTGTGTGCGTATACAAGTGGTTAAATGGAGCTGGCACTCACCAGGCATAACACCCTGGTAACTGGGTCTCCCAGCAAGGGGACTTTCTATAGTGAAAGGACCATAAACGAGGCATCCTTTGTAAAAGGTGAAATACTGGGGCCAGCAATAAAGAAGACACAAAGCACAGTGTCATGCAACAACTTATTAGAGTAACGGCTCCAGTAAGTGTGAATGTATTGGCTCCAGAAATATGGATTTTCATTTCCAGAACTTTTACAATCTTTGCAATCTCCTCTGCCACAAGTTTTGATTCATTTTAGCTCCAGAAGGCACCCAACAGGTCCATTAATCTGAGTGTGCAGATAAACTTTGACTTGTTAGGAACTCCTCTGTGCTGTGTCTTGAGTGTGATCAGAAATCTTTTCATTGGAAGCAGTCACAGCATTAGGTCAGCGAGTGAATCAGGTTAACCTTTGATCTCCTTCATGACTTTTGATCTCCATCCCTAAGGCATTGCAGGGAGGAACTTCAGGAGGCAGAAACCATCTGCTTAATGTTTGGACATCTTAAAGGGAAACAAGGATTTCATCTCACTTTGAAGGCTGGGCTCAGTGGCTGGGGCAAGCCAAGGGTGGAGCAAGTGATATCTCAAATACTTCCAGAGAAGATCTGATCCTCTCTGAATCATTAATGCACAGCTGAGAGATGCTGAAGGGAGCTGGGACAGTTTATTTTCACAGTGTAGCTTTTGCAAAACTTTTAACAATGACAGTAATCCCCTGCAGAGTAATAAATGCAGTCCCATAAATGAGCATCCAGATAGCATAGAGTGGTACTTGGTGCCTAATGCATCTTCCAAGCAACTGCCAGCACTACAAGCATCATAAATAAGAGACCTCAGTTAACCTTTGGTTTAATGTTGTTTTTACTGCCAGTAGGAAACTCTACTTGTATTCAGTGACTGAAATAATCTTGTCCCCTATATCACCGTCTAAGTACCTTCATACAGGTAAGGGGGAGGTGGGTTTTAAAATCAACAAGCAGTTGATTTTAAAATTTGAATAGGAGTTTGTTGAGGGTCTAGGATAACTGTACAAATATCAGGCTCCAGAGTGGTGCATAGATGGCATGTCCATCCATCTGCAGCAGCGTTTCCAGACCTTATCTGCCTTGATGAAAGGACGGTAACCTCCCTTCTTCATCTTCCCCATAGCAACAGGAAAAACACAAGTGTATGTGTTACAAATATCAAACCCAAGCAGAGGAGGGAGAGGATGTGTCCTCCTTGGAGCCCTTAAAATACGTTTCAGCAGTTCATTATTGCATCTTCTGAATTGGTGACTTCCACCTGTGTTGCTCATTAGTGTTGAAATATTGACACTTTTGTGTAAGAGGGAGTTTTCGAGGTAGCTGTAAATGCCAGCAGTTAATTAGTATAGGCCGTTTCCCCCTTTCCTCCTCCCTCCCCCCGGTAGCAGACCATAGCTTTGCTATATACACTTTAAAGAATTGCTGAAACTGTTAAAGGAAACATGAATTGTTGCAAACAAAGATAATCTCATCTGATCCCATTTAAGAGCTGGGTAAACAGCAAATACAAGCTTCAGATTGTATGCTAAGATCATATGCACAGCAACTAATATGCTAGAGCATTTTCCCTGTCTAATCTGTATCTCTGTCCGACCACAGCAAGGGTCTCCGTCCTCAGTAAGAGAACTGTCACCCCTTCACTTGCATCTGGTAAAATTAGTACAGTCTTCAAAGGCAGATTGCACAAATGATAAAGAAGTGGCTTTTCTATGTGTGAAGTGAATGTACATGCGATTCGCCAGGCTAGAAGGTATCTGGAACGGTCCAACAGTCTTTAAATCAACAAAGTCAGGAAATTCCACGTTAATTTGTTGCCTTTATATCGTCGTGCGGTTTTTGCCCATCTTTAGTAATAGGCCAGGAAAGAGCAGTTTTTAGGCCTTTCTAATTTGTTACCACACACCAGCTTGGAATGATTTTTTTTTTTTTTTCAAACTCTTCCCTGAAAAAAGCAGCTTTTAAAATAGCCCCTGAAACACAGCACTGTTTGATCTCACCTGAGTATTTGCTCGGTCCAAACTTCTGTGGAGTGTGCAGTTTTTTGATTTCTACCTTCAGGAATGTAGTAGATCAGGATTTGAATGCACACACCTATATGTGGCTCTTCAGATCTACAGACCTGCTTAAACTTCATTTATTGAGACCTTGCCTCTGGACTTCAGGTTTTTAGAACCGATTGTTTTTTGCATTTGACTTTTATAAGGAGATAACTTTTAAGCCATTGGAACGGGGTTTTTATTTGTGGGGGGAGGAGGAAGGGATGGGTTTTGTGCATGTACTAATTTCTTTCAGAAGCCTTTCATTGAAGACAGTGGTGATTTGATGGGCAGAAAGATCTTGTGTGGAAAATCATGAAGTCTGCCAAGCTGATTTCATATTTCCGCTGTACTGAATTATGCCACCGCTGCCTTTATTAGGTGGATTTGAAGGGTCCTTCTAATTAGCAAAGTCTTCCACTTAAATTTTGCAGTCGTGCACTGGCTATTTTCCACCTTGAGTGCTTTTTTCTGTTTAAAATGCACATTGAATAAAATATTCTATCTCATGCCAAGTTGGAGGGGTGAGTTATTCCAGTGTGAAGGCAGGGTAACTTTTTAACCTGAAAGGTTGTTTTTTGTTTTGTGTAGATGACATCCACTAATGAAGGCATTTTGTTCTCATTCTTCCTTTTATTTTTTTCTTCTTGAGCATAACAAACATGCTTTGAAGAGGAATGCCTGTCTCCAGAAGAGAAGTCAAGGATGGAGTGTACTCAGTGCAGATAGTCAGATAAGAGGAGCTTTCTTTCAGCTGTCCGCGAAATAAACTCCTCTATTCTGCTAACTATTTGTCTGACTCAGTTTGATACAAAGGGTAACCCCCCCCCAACCCTGGAGCTGGTCGGGCTTTTCTGTGACTGTTGGGTGGAAATGCCAGCTCTCTGTACTCAGTTGGATCGTGCCTTCCAGCTGTTTTGTTTCTGGTCTTGTACAACACCTCAGTTGGGTTTAGTTCAATCGTTTTAGTATCTCACGCAGCTCCTGCCACTGAATCTAATTGTATCACAGCAAATAAGGTTGTGTGCTAGGGAATGGGCATAGCAGCATAATTCATATTTTCTCTCAATGAGTGAACAGGCAGCCAGGAAGTCTCCAAATCCCGAAACAAAAATTGGCTTGAGAAATGAGAGTTAAGCCCCTGCTATTGGCTAATTCCCAGGTTGCTCAGCCTGCTTTGCCAAGCTAATTGTTTTATACTTTGTAACACGAACCATGTACATTTGTTTTGTTCTTAGATTGAAGACTAAGCCTTGATCTATGTTCCACCTGCTTCCAGCTGCCTGCCACGAATTCACAATCACATGACCCTGGATATGGACATCGTCCTTTCGGATTTTGTTCGCTCAACAGGGGCAGAGCCAGGACTGGCCAGAGACTTACTTGAAGGTAAAAAGTGCTGGGATAGAAACATTTAATATTCACTTGGTTCCTTCTTGGCTTAAGTAGGCAGAGAGGAGAGTTTGGGAGAGGAGATGACTGTCTGCCAGGGGCAAGCTGTTAGTGATGGTAACGCTGCACATTTTAAAGCTGTGACCTTTTCAATGTAGATAGTGAAACCTTGGCTTGATCTTACGTTCCATGTGACTAAGGTAATGGAGCTCAACTGTTTGCCAGAGTGAGAGTCGAATGCTTAAAAGAGAAGTGCAGCCTACAGCAATAAACCATCTTTCCTGGTATGTTGTGTCCCAAAGTGGATCAGAAATCAATTTTTAGCTGAAGTGGTATTTAGAAGTTGAGCACGTTGTCCTGGAGGCTGTATATTTTAGATCAGGCGCTCGGTGAAAGTTTCAAAGTACTGTAAAAATCCACATGTCAATGTTTCGTGTAAGGGAGTGCAGTTGGGAGAAGTGAATTGAATGTGGTTTTTTTCTTCCTTTTCTACCTCTGTATACTGATCACTTGCAGGTACCTGGCGCACATTACAATTATGTAATGTGTTTTACACATTAGGTGTAATTTAGGTGTTCATTCCACATTAATCTGTTAATTGCTTCCTGGTCCTGGAATTGCTGGGGCTGGGGTCGACAGTCAGCTGATTATTGGACCTGGCCTGGACAGCTCCAAGTCTCATCTAGGATGCAGCCACCCTCTGACAGATCAGGCTGGGGGTAGCTCATTGGTGGGGTGATTGGGATTGTAGGAATTTTATACCCCATTTCAAACGTACTTCCTGCCGCACATGTTTGGCATGGCAGCAGGCATGATGCTTGGGGTGGGGCATAAAATTACTCTGATCCCAGTAATGCCATTGTTTTAACTTATGCTAAGTGCCACAGACTCTTCTCGTTACTGTATCCTAATCTTGACCTTTTAAATTTCCATCTTTTAATTTTGAGCATCAGATGCACTTTTCATCTGGTTAATTTCCTCTGTCATGTAATGGTTAGGCAAGTTTTATTCTAAAAACCCTGCAGTTTTCACCAATGAACTCACAACCAGGAGGCTGCGTTGTACTTTGGACAGACAAGGTCCTGGCCTTCACAATTAAAATTGTAACATTTAGTTTTGATTAAATTAATCCTATGGTTTTTTGGTCAATAAACAATTTGTTTGCTAACTTTGAATATGTGGTTCTGGCCTAACAGTATTTGTGTTACACAGGTTGCTCTATTTGCTTTATGCAAATCACTTTTAGCTGTTAAAAATGACCTCACGTGTACATGATGGTGCAGGCTAGCTTGCCATCTAATACTGATAAATGTGTTCATCATGTAAGCAGAGCATTAAATAGAAATAGGAGTAATTTAGGGCTTATTTTTGCCGTGTTCTATATGTCTTATAGTTCAGTTACAGAAACACAAGGGTTCGATGCAGGTTTTTAAGGCTGTGCCCACATTAGAGGCAGTGATCGGCACAATGCTGTAGCTGAGGGGCAAGAAGAGGCATGACCCGTGATCAAGCTACCTGTGTGAGCAAGATCATCTAGTGAGAGCAGAGTTATTCAGGCGAAACCGTGCTTTTACTGGTATAGCTTGTTCTGCTTGCAAGGGTAGTTTCATTATGCTTTGCCAATATAGCTGCATCTGTGCTAGGAGCGCTGTGCTGTGCTAGCATCCTGCTGTTCCTATCCTGGAAAAGTGTGCCTGGAGTAGACCTTGTCCCATGTATAATCGCATGATGTTAGCAGTTCTGTTTTTCTGTGGGACTCCATCCAAATGCGAAGGCAATGCAGATCCAAGATGAGCAAGATATTGATACTGTTGTTAAAGTGCCATAAAGTTAAGGTTGCCGTGTGCTGGAAAGCAGAGCTGCAGTCTTGCATTTAGATAGGCTTAGTTGGGAGCAGATGTGGCTCTACCGTTTTGATCTGTGGGCCTAGATGGGTGCAGCACTGGAAAGTTGCCTGTTGTACCTCTGAAAGGCATGAGCCTTTTTCTTTACCAGACTGCATGCTTTTAATTGGTTTATGAGTAGCTCTTCAACTGCGTAAAATACTGGAGGCTGCAAGTGAGGGAGGAACAGTGGAAGAAAACCCTGGTCAGACCCAGTTTGCTCTCCCTTCCTGCATCTTCTCTGCTCCAGTGTCACACTGGGGTCTACCCAGTAAATGGCATTCTCATGTTCTTAAGTTCATATATTGCAATAAAAGCCTGCAAGTGACTTTTGCTGCCCTCAACCTACCATTAAAAGAAGGAGCAGGGTGCATTGACTTTTCTGCTTCCCCGCACGCCCTTCCCCCAAGCTGTAATACACTTGCAAATATAGCCTGTGGGTCTGTGTTACCAAAATGCTTGGTGATGCTACACATGAGCAAGGAAATGCTGACGAAAGCCCTGACATTTTCATCTGCCATGGTGACAGCATGAGAGATGTGTTTGGCAACAGTGCACGAGTGTCTAGCACAAGGCAGGATTTGGTGCAATATGGCATTGCTGAGTTGTCCATGCCGTGACCGCCTTCACTTTAGAACCAGGCTTGTTCTGTGAGTTGGGAATTTGGCTTTGTACTAACATTGCAGTCCCCAGCTGACCTTTTTATCCTGTTGTGGGTACGCACACATCCTGTTTTCATAGGTGGGGTGCGGTGGCTTCCGCCTTGGGACTGGGAGCCAGGAGCTGTGAGCTTGAACCTGACTGAAGCAATCTCCATAACTTTTTCTATCCTGAGAGTACCTACTTGGTAGATTTGAAAGAGTCCAGTGAAGAGCAACAAAAATTATTGGAAGCCCAGGAAACATGAGTTACGAGGAAAGGCAGAAAGATAAAGTTATTTATTTCTTCCCTGGGGAAGAGAAGATGGAGAGGGGATTTGATAAATCTTCAAATACCTAAAGGGCAATTTATAAAGTGGATGGAGATAGACTTTTTCTCTATGGCTGATGGTACAGGAATAGAAGCCGTGGCCTCAAACTGCAACAGGGGAAATTTAGGTTGTAGATTAGGAAGATCATTTGGACTATGAGGGTGGTTAAGCATTGGAACAGGTTACCTAGAGAAGTTGTGAAATCTCCATCTTTGGGCATTTTTAAAAGCCAGGTTAGATATAAGCACTTAACGGGGATGGATTTAGTCGGGAAAGATCCTGTCTTGAGCAGGAGGCTGGACTAGATGATCTCCCAAGGTCCCTTCCATTCCTTCTTTCCTACAATCCTCCTCTGGTACCTAAGGATGGGAACACTAATACAGATCAGCTGCCAGGTCGTTTATGATGACCTATAGAAGGGCTAGCTACAGTTTTAAACACACATGTGCCCTGCCAGCACTGGGCTCTTCATGGCTGCCACCACTTTGGAGCTTCATCCATAACAAATTACAGGATCTGAATTTGTTGGTATGTATCCTTAGCAAGCTGCTCCATCTCTTCTCCCCAGTTTTTCTGTAAAGCTCCTTAAGGCTCTGAGGATTTGGAGCTCTCTTGCTCTTCAAGTCATGTTGGGTGATGGCAAAAAGTCCCCTTTACTTTAATGGGACTAGGATTTTGCCCTGTGTTTCTAGATGGTGCTGTCTCGGGGAGGTCTGGCATCTGCAATTTGGGTGCATATAAGTTCTGATTTCTAATTGAATATTTCCTTTCACTTAAGGATTTCTGACCTTTTCTTTCTAAAGAAAAGTATTTTTAGCTGAAGATGAAACCAGGAGAGGAAGTTTTTTATCATCTGCCCATTTCTTCAGTGCGTGGTCACTTACTTGGGCAACTGTCACTCTGACTAATTTTCATAACGCACTTCCTAAAGTTACTCAGTGTTACTGCAACATTTTCAGCTAAGTGCTTTTGGGCAAGATACTGATGTTATACTTTTGGAGGGGATTGATATTCTGCTGTGCTCAGAAAGCAGTCCTATAAAATGCCACTGTATCACTTATCTCCAAACGGGACATCCTAGGGTGACACCGATGCCACCTTTGTGCACACTATGTTCAGATTAACACATGAATTGCAAGCTGAGTCTGGTTCTGATTATACACTCTTCTGTGTTTTGATTACCTGTAGGTTTTTATAGCTGCTGTGCAGCTGGATAAGAATCTAGATGGCTTGTTTTGACAAGAAAGGATTTTACATTTCAGGAATAAGTGTTTCGGTGCAAAAAACAAAGTATCTGGCAAGTACATTTACACGTGCTTAATTTTGAGGTCTTTTGCATCCAAGCTAGAATGTAAGAGTGAATGCACCCCAGTAGTTTGTCTTTTGGTGACGTCCAAAAACAAAATCGTTTGTGGAAATAGCTGACAGATCTCGCTCATCCCAGATGAATTTGCCCCTCCGTCTCTGCTCTTTCCTCTGGAATAGCCCTTTATTTTGTCTGGTTATTCATATATCAGGGCAGGCTGTGAGTGTGAAATCCAAATGAATTCACTTTGCCATTTGTCTCTAAAAAAACATGTGGGCAGGAGCTATTACGAGCAAGTATGATTGAGTGTTGTTTTCAAGGGAAGATTTACTTTAGGCTCTTCTTAAATCCTGTATTATCATTCACAGATGTATGCATTAAGTTTTATAATGGGGCCAGTCAAGTAGTTGTGCAGTGGAGCCCAGTTGCCACAAGATAATTCCATGGCAAATTTAGATTTTTACTATAGTTATTTACATGTCTGCCAAAACTACTTTAGTATTGTCCGAGCAAAGGTTTTGATTTAATTGGAGCAGGTTTATTGCACACAAATGAAAGCGAGCATTAGCACTAATGCTTGTTTGAGGAGAAGTCTTTATTCAGAATGGCAAAATTATGTTGAGATTAGTTTGAAGACTTTATGGCTAATCTAAGTTTGCAACACCGGGGACAGGACTTTCTCTTTTAGACCGTTCAGGATTTTGTCTTGAAGTTGTTTTTGGCACTTTTATTTACCTCCTTTCTATTCTTATCTAGTTCAACATATTAAATACACGATAAAACTTTATTTGATAACAGTATTTGAGTCTGCAGTAGAATGGACACTATTTACATTAAGTGGCAAATGGTATACTGCTGATATAGCAAAAGATGTAAAACTATTAAGCAGCATATTATATTCTGTTATCAGTTTGCAAATGCTTCATGTGTGGGCTCAGATGATTTTCGTGTCGCATTGCACCTGTGAAGTCTTGTCCGTTTGCTGACCTGGAACACCGAAGTGGCTCGAATTTTCTTTCCTCATTTAGACTTTTCTTGTCATTGGAATATTTTTAATGAACCAGTTAAGAGTTTAAAGCAAAAGGTGAGTAGTTGATCCTCTTTAGGAGTGGGCAAGCCAGCTTTAGTTAACTAATTTGTATTGGTCCTCGGGGAGGTTTTAATTTGGAAGAGAGAATTCAGTTTGGAAGAACAGAATCCACACTTGTCCATGCCTCTGTAGGGGAACAGGACTGTCACAATAACAGCAATGAATAGTTCACTGGGCTGCAATTCTAGTTTGTTTCTAGAAGAAAGTAGTAATTACCTAAACTTGAATAGGTCTTGATTTTAAGCAGTGTACGTTTATGATGGTAACAGCGGAAGTCTTAGCAAAGAGCACAAACCTACTGTAGAGGGATTTGTCTCTGACTACATAGGACAGCAGACAGTCCTTCCATTAAACTTGGTTGCAAATGAGACTGTCGCATCCAAATAGCTGCCGATTTGATAGATGTGTTAGTGGAGATGTACTGTAGCTTTAAATTCCCCTACATTTTTCACTGCAATTCCTATATCTGTAATTCCAACATCACTTTGAAATAGCACCGTCCTGAACTTTATTTGCCATCGAATCTAAAATGGGCATTTCCTTTGCTCGCTTGTGTTTAATTCAGGGAGTGAAAAGCATTGAGGTTTTGGTGTTCTCAAAGTGACTTTTTTAAGCAGATCAGGCAGAGTTTAATTTGGTAAACCTCAGACAATACACGCATTTCTTTTCTCTCTCTTGTGTCAGTTCTCTTGTTATTTTAATTTCTGTTTAAAAACTCTGTTGTGTAGAATATTTACATAATTTCCCCCCACACAGAAGGCATACTTGAAGGAACTTCCATGTGGCTTCCTTTTTTTAGATTATTTCCAAAAATAGTTAGCTTCAAACAGCAATTGGGGCTCATGGTAGAGGTGATATCTTTTATTAGACCAACCGATATCACGTCTACCATGAGCCCTAATTGCTTTTTTCCTTTAGACCCAATATCGCTATAGCCTGGATACTTAGCTTCAAACGGTGCTTTTAATGTAACGTCTTCAGTATGTACCACAGTTTCACTTGGATATAAAATATGAACCTTTATTTCAGGTAGTTCAGGTGCAAGGGTAACGGGATAGATAGTGGAGCAAGGTAGTTAGATGGAGTATATAATACTCATTCTAGTTGCTAATAGTGCTTGTAGTAGAAATATAATAGTAACTTTCAGGTGTCAGCATTGATCTGTAAGGAATAAAACCCCTTTGCAGCCCAAATTATCCAAGGAGAGAGAGTCTGAGATGCATATTTTAACCTGGCAGCTCACATCAGCTGGAAGGCTTGAGTTAAGGGTGCATATTTAGATCTGTGGACAGGGCCCTGGACTCTGCTTTTTGTTTCATCCTTGGGATGGATGGAGCTGGATTCTGCCCTTCAGGCCATTTATGCATGATTTATGTGCTTATCAAAGATGCTCAGTACCTGCCACTTGTGCTGGAAGCTATAAGAAAACGGAGGTGGTTCAGCACCTTTGGAAGAAACAGGCCTTCATGCCCTTTCTGCCAGGGATTTGGGTTCTTGTGCCAAGGAATTGCTGCATGCAACTTGAATAGTTTTTATACTTAGTGGATTATTCTTAAATGCAATGAAAGGCTGAACAACAGCTGTGTTTTCATTAGGGCTGAGTTCATCACCTGAGGACTGGGAAGGTGTCCTGTTGTGCCTGGTACTGTACAACCAGCAGCCAAAAGCCCGTGTCCCAAATATCTTAGATGTGGTTGACACAGAAACCTAGAGGGGGATAAATCAGCCAAGTAGCATGGTGGCAGCAAGTGTCCATTGAGCTGTTTTGTGGGGGCAGGCGTGGTGATGATGGAGACTAGAAGTCAAGGGGAAAGGGACCTCGAAGGGAAGGGAGGCATGAAGAATGTGGAAGGAGTAACGGGGAGGGGAGGGAGAGAGAGGGCTGGAGCAAACAGGCCATCAGCCGGTGCTGTAAAAAGTTCTCCGAGCTACTGAAGGACTTCACTTTGGTTGCTTCTGCCAGCTGGAGTCTCTGCAGGGACGTGTGAGCATCAGGGCAGCTTAGGGGATGCAGTGGCCCTGGAGGGTAAGTAGTCTTGGATATAAAATACGAGTAAGTAGTCTTCTGCTCCCCAGTGGGTCCCATCTCATTCCCTGCCTCAGTGGCTCCCATTTCAGGCAGCTGTTTCACTGCACACCTCTGCCCACATCTTGCATTTAACGTACTTCATTGCTGAGTCCACCTAAGGTTAAGATCCCAATCTGGCCCATTAGCTTCATGAGTGAAGTTCTTCCCTAATCTCAGCCTCACACAGTTTCTTGCCATCTCACCTCTTTATGATCCCACGAACACACTCGGCAAAGGCAGATTGCCTAATAGTGCAATTTGGAAGCTATTTTGCAAGCGTCTGGCCCAGTTGCTCAAACTTCCTCGTAACTTAAAGTGCTAAAACCACGTGAGGAGCCACTGAACCTGCATGCTTGTGAAAGAGGCAAATACTGACTCACGATAGTGAACGGGAGCCTTGAACTGATGGATCGTTTCAACTTTCCACCCAAAAGGGCTCGACTCGAAGAGAACCAGTGGTGGAACAGATTTGCCAGGCAGAACTGATGGCTAAACGCCGTCAATTATCGCTATTAAAAGAACTGAAATGCTTCAGAAACACAGTTCCCTTCAGAACTGAGACACTGAAACATGCTTGGATTATCTGTGATCTGTCGTAAGCCAGTTGGCAGTTCAAGTATTTTTCCGGTCGTGAGGATGCGCCATATGTTTGCTGCCTTTGAAAGCAGTAAATGAACACAATGTGAAGATTCCTGAGAAAAGGTGTTGATTGAAAAAACCCTTAGCATCGCAATTTCCACCTACACTCCAG